ACAGAAGCCGAGTCCAAGGGTAACCGAAGATAGAGTAGTCAATCAAGCCAAAGTCAAAACCAAGAGTACAATTAAAGTATATTATTATATTTATAGAGCACCGTCAAATTCCGCAGCGCTTTACAATGGGTGGACGAACAGACATGTAGTTGTAACCATTCTAGTTGGACACACAGGAACAGAGGGGTTGAGGGCCCTGCTCAATGAGCTTACATGCTAGAGGGAGTGGGGTAAAATGACACAAAAAGGTAAGGATAGTATTAGACTAGTGACAGTTGCAGAAGAGGAATCAGCCAGGAGCTATTAACAGTTTAATTGATACGCTTTTATGAAGAAGTGGGTTTTTAACGATTTTTGAAGGAGTGGAGACTGGGTGAGCATCTAACGGAGGAGGGAAGCGAGTTCCACAGGAACAGTGCAGCCCTCGAGAAATCTTGAAGGCGAGCATCAGAGGTGGGAGTACAGACAGAAGATAGACGTAAGTCTTCAGCAGATAGTAAGGGCCTAGACGGGACATACTTGTGTATAAGGGAGGATAGATAGGTGGGAGCAGCATTATGTAGAGCAGTGTTTCCCAACCCAGTCCTCAAGGCACACCTACCAGTCCAGGATTTAGGGATTACCCAGTTGTGTCTAAGGTGTTTTTTTTCTTCTTTGTAAAAACACCTTAGACACACCTGGGTAATCCCTAAATCCTGGACTGGTAGGTGTGCCTTGAGGACTGGGTTGGGAAACACTGATGTAGAGATTTGAAGCAAGAACCAGAATTTTAAATTGATCTCTATATTTTATAGGAAGCCAATGTAGGGACTGACAGAAGGGTGAGGCATGGGAGGTGCGGGCGGACAGGAAGATGAGCCTCGCCGCCGCATTCAATATGGACTGTAACGGCGCAAGTTGGGAGCATGTAAGACCACTGAGAAGCGGTCTTGGGACTGTAAGAACCACAGCAGGACAATGTGCTATGGGTGAACCAACCTTTTATAGTCTAGTAATAGTTCTTTAATTTTGAAGCCACGCCCCAAAACTGTAGAATTCTGTCGTTTTGGCGGGCCGTGACGTCATTAGTGGGGAGATAACTGTCCCTGTTTAGGGCCATAATCCCGCATTCTCTATTTTCAATCCTATTGTCCCTCTTTTGTAGAAATACTATATTGTTGGTGTGCCTTGGTGTATACCATAGCTAAACAGCAATATGTTTTTAAACTGTCTGTGTAAATATGATACTAATAACAATTTATCCAACTAAAATATAATGTAAGTTATCTAACATTTCTCAGAACACCCACACTCACAACCCTAAATTAAAGGGTCCAACTTTGTCTGTTTGAAATATTAGGAGTTATGCCTTATTAAAATAAGGTTTATTCAGAAAACACTAAATGATAATGAATTAAAGGAACACCATTTTAAGCAAGGCCTTTGAATACTCTGCCTCATTATTTAGCTATTTTTTATTTCTTTATTTTTGTTGTGTAATGAAAATACATGCAAACTTCCAATGCCACGACAGCTAGAGCAAGTAATCAGAAAACATAGTGTAGTAGATGCATGACATTCAGCACTATTTTATAGTATTGTATAGTGATAAAAAGCAACACCCTGGATTAGTGTGTTAAGAACAAAGTTTGATATATCTAATAACCGAAATACTCTAGGTGCATGAAAATATGATCATAGGTATAGTTTAGGAAGATACAGGCTGAGACTCTTAGAAGCCCTCAGTGCATATTTAGAATAAGTAAAAGGGTGAAACAATCAAGATTCATGCACAGGGTGAAGCAACAGGGATTACACATGACAAATTAACTGCCTGCATGTGCTAATAGGCTGATAGTGTATAGTAAAACCAGTGAGTCATTTAGAAAAGCAAAGCAAAACAACAATTCAAAATAAAGTGAGAGGCTAATGCAAACAATATATAATCTACTGCCACTAAAGATGCTCAGCCATTACCCTCCAAGCATACTTTCCTGCCTCAGGGAATTGTGTGCCCCAAGTCCCATAGTAGGCTGCCCCACTAGCCCCAGGTTTGAATACAGTCCAGTACTCTGTTTTCACTTGTCCGTTCGCAGCCAGCAACCAGAGCAGGAGCTTTGGATCCTCTTCCAGAGTGGGCCTCCCGAAGAAGAAAGCAATGCCAGGGGAGTTGTCCCCATTTGGAACGTGGCCTAGGTGACTGGTAGCTGGATTTGGGCCCGTGAGACCTGAGCATCTGCCTCAGCTTCTTTTCTGACTCTATATAGTGAAGGTCATCTAGTGCCGGCTGTGATGTGTAGCTACTTCCAGAAGTTGCAGGCCATGAGCCACAATGTTTAGATTCGGACCTTAGCGTTTGTCTCTGCTACTTCCCTGGCAATGCCTGGGTAAGGCCATCTAAAGTAGTCTGTGGAGTGTAGCTGATTTCAGGGTCGAACTAGATCTTACTGCTCTTAGGCGTAGTTTGGATCAGAATTGTGCCCACAGCCCCTCAAAGGCCTGAGTGAGTTGGTACTCGTGG